GAACACATTCTCCTTGGCTTATCATCTGGAAGACGAGATGGACTGGGAGGGTCTGAACCACTGGGGTAATAGCTTTTGGGAAGGGAAATCCCGTTTACTTGGGAAACCTTTCCCAGCTGACTCAGCTGATTGGGAGATAGGTGACTTGACTTCCTCAAGGGTAGCTGGTCTTTGAGTAGTGTCATGGTTAGCTTCCACTGTCAACCTGATGACAACCTAGAGTTACTTGGGAGGAGAGGAGTGGTAGGTCAGGATGGATGCAGGCAACTTGGACATAGAAGGAAGGAAGGATTTGTGGGGTGGAAAAAGGGGCTTTGGGGATGGGAGATTCCTTAGGGTCCGTTCCCCTGACACCTCCAAGCTGTAAATACCAACAGAGGTACATATGCTGATTTTATCAGAGGCATCCAGGATCCTAACAGCCGACAGGTATTAATTGTCAAGTCAACTTTCCCAACTTGATTTTCTCAGGCGGTTAGGTGACTAACCCTTCAGGAACCTCACTAGAAGAATTGCTTCCGTCAGATTGACCTGTAGGGCATTTTCCTTATTGCTAATTGAGGTAGGAGAGCCCAGCCCTCTGTAGGCATGCCATCTCTAGGCAGGGCAGGGCCTGGGCTATGTAAAAAAGACAGCTGACCATGAACCAGGGAGCAAGACAGTAAGTAACACCCCTTCGTGGTTTCTGCTTCAGTTTTTCCCCTGAGCTCCTGCCCTGACCTCCCTTGACGATGGACTTAACCTCTAAGATAAGCCCTCTCCTCCTCTAAATTGCAAGGTGATCATGTGGCAGTGTGAAGAGACAGAGGAAAGGAGATTCTGTCTGCCCTTTTACCCAATCTTCCTCCTCAGGCTTCCAGATCTCATCCTCTCCTTCTTCCTTTTCTAGGCGAGGTTCAAAGTGACTGCACTCAGGGAAGAGATGGCTCTGAAACTTTGGTTTGGGGAGTTATCCCATGCTCCTGCCTTCCCTTATGTTTTTTCAGACTGCTCCAGATTTTAGATTTAAGGGTACTGACCTCTCTGGGGTCCTTGTACCTGTCTGTTTTTCTGCCTGTAAAAAGAGGAATCCCACAGATGAGTGCAGGAGGGGTCAGAGGTCGACCTGTGCTGGCTCAGAGCCCTCCCCTCTTGTGGGCAGGATCACAAACTGTCCCCTTCCATCCCTGATGACAACCCAACTCTGGGGGACCAGAGCAGAAGAAGAGCACAGTTTTGAAAGCAGCATAAGTGCCTATAAAGAGTTTTTATCGTCTGGGGCATAAGTGTATCACATGCACGTGACAGCCCTGTTTAACCAGAGCGTTATATTATAGAACTCTTAGTACCATTTATTTAAAGTGGGTTGTCTATTACTAATGAATTAAAGTTCTGTTCGGTGATGATTTTTTTATTCTGATAGCAAAATTAGTCCATCTCTAGGTTGAAAAAATAAAGTAAGTACATTTACTTTACTTAAGTACATTTTATACATACATTCATAGAACAAACCCCAGAAATCATCCAGCCCACCCCACTTCAGCCATTCCTGTTGTTTGTTTGTTTTTGAGATCTGGTTTCTTTGTGTAGCCCTGGCTCTACTGGAACTCACTTTGTAGACCAGGCTGGCCTACAACTCAGAGATCTGCCTGCCTCTGCCTCCACCTCGCGTGCTGGAATTAAAGGTGTGTACTACCACCTCCTGGTTAAAATTAATCTTTTAAATTTACATTTAAGTTTTTCTAGCAAAAAAAAAAAAAGAATACAAGACTTACTTGACATTTATGAAATACAACCTACCCATTTAACCATCCTTTAAGGGCAGGATATTAGCTCTGTCTTTGTAAATCCTGGACCAAGGTTTTTTTGGTTTTGGTTTTGTTTTTTTTTCCCCCCCAGAATTAACATTTGAAAGCAGCAGACCCTAACCACCCATCCTACCTATAAGGTCAAAATGAACATTTCAGGTATTTAGTGATTTAGTTATGCTTGAGTGGTGCTGTGTTGCCAGTTTTTCTTCAGTTTCAAATTCTACAGTTAAATAGAGGGAAAACACTAACCATAGTTCCTATATGTTAATGTGGTCCAAATCCTCCCAACACACATACACACACATACACACACACTTTAAATTATGCATGCCAAGGTAGTATTTTTATTAATCAGTAAATTAACATTTTTAAACACATGTTTAAATAAATATAAATAAGAATAAATAAATTCTTTGAGAATTTAGTACATGTATAGAAAGTGTTTCTCATGGTGTCATTCCCTCCCTTCCCCTCCATCTCTCTCAGATTCTCTCACCTTATGGTGTTTCCTTTTCATGCCAGGCCTTCTTTAAAACCCTTAATAACCCAGATAGTGCTATTGTTATGGACTTGACAGTCACTACCTGTCCCCCAAGTCAGGCCCAGACACCTCAAAAGTGGGGAGCAGAAAAGGTTTTCTTCAATGTGGTCATATCAAGAAGAGAAAAAAAGACCCAGTGACCCCCCCAAATCCATCTTCTGGGTCCTGAAGTGAGACGGAAGTTTAAACAGAGGATCAAACACATATCTCAGCAGCATTAAGGTGTGTCCCACCAGTGACCCACCATTATCTGGGACTCAGTCTCATCCCATAAAGTTGTCTGACATGTTGTTAGAGCTCTGTAACATCTTTCTCAGGAGACAAGCCAGTCCCGCAAGTCATCACTGTTGCTGTACTTCACCCCCCCCCCCCGACATGTTTTCTTTCTCCCAGCATGAGATTCTTGAGAAATTCTCATTTTAGGCTTCATTGTTTCAATAGTCTGATAATTAGACTGAGAAACACTAGCGTATGTTTAGAACATCTTCCTGTCTACCTAGCCCCTTACACTATCAATATGCCTGCACATAGGTGTGGGGAACCACTGGAGTCTGGGTGGACCACCAACGGCCACGCCTTCCAATAAACAATTTCTCAGTCAACAGCCATCAACTGTCAATAGCTCCTCAGTTTAAAAAAAATAGCAGTTTGCCACTCATTTGTTTTTTAGAATGCTAGAATACCTTGTCCCGTGCTGCTTTAAACACAAAATGACGTCAAAAAATAATTATAAATACAAAAATGTACTCTTAGATAAACCATCATAAATTTACAAAAGACTAGTCAGCTAAAATTCCCCCAAGGGGGATCCCTGACTGTATAGACTTAGTATTTTACAAATCACAATGGTAAGACAGCAAGGGAGAGTTTCTCAGCTCTTGATGAACTTACCACTAGAAGCCAGGGCACCAAACATCAACAATCACCAAAGCTACCTTAAACCAGTGGCTTCTGAGTGTGAGGTCTCATGTCTTAAGAGAATAAGAAAATGTGGACAGTAGTGAGCAAAGCAAATGTAGATTTTTATATATATATATATGTATATATATTACAATATAATATAAATATATCTACATATTATATGCAAAAATATATAGTTTATATATTATATAAATTACTTATATATAATAAGTAATGTAACTTATATAAATATATAATATATTATAACATATTAATATAATACATTATATTAAGACATGTTACAATATATATTATTTGTATAATATATTGTAAATTATATATTATATACTATGATGTACTATATATTGTGTTGTATATTATATTTATAACATAATATATATTATTATATATTGTAAACATATATTATATAACATGTTATGTATCATATATAATATATAAGTATTATATATATATAATTCCTGAGAATAGAAGAGTTTCTAAAGGTACAATGTCATAGCACTGTCCTGCCCAGTAGCTTTTGAGATACTTATATTGGGAGTTAGATGGAAACTGGGCTAATATTTATTGACATTGGTAGTTTTTGAGCTAATGTAGGCAGAGCCAGTAAGTGGCCCACACTACCCTTTGAGTGCACCCTTGGCTAGTCAGGAGGTGACCCTGCACTACTCATCCACCCAGGGGAGTGGGCACACATCACGCTCCTCTTCCCTTGTTTTCCCAACTCTGTCACTCATTTTGTAGACTATTCATTGACCTACCTTCTACTAATTAGCTCATGACTTACTATGACCGGCCCTTATTTCTGTGGAGAGCTGCAGTCTACCTCAGTGATAGAGATACACTCAATGTCTTCAGTTCTCTGTGTCCTAAATTGGTTGACAGAACCCCAATGGTCAAAAGACCAACACACTGAACTCTTCCTGTCATATGGCAGATGCCTAACTAGTTCAAAGGAATTTCCAAGTAGACAAAATTTGCCATATGAATAGTATACTAGTCCTTATGGCTCCATATAACACCATATAGTTCAGAGAAACCTCCAGCCCAAGTGGAATGCCCAAGATACACTGGTCAGAGAACACTTATCAAGGGTTAATATTTCTTGAGAATTAAAACCTGAGTCCAGGCATTTACTTCTCTGTTCTAAAAAACCTGAGGCATAAAACAGCTGGAGTGGGAAGATTTAAGAAAGAAAACAAGTCCATGGAATGAGATGACTCTTGCAGTGCGATGCTGCTTTACCCTCTCGGTCTGTTTGGTATTCAATTAAAAACCTTTTTTTTTTTTTTTTTTTTTTTTTTTTTTGACATGGCCTTTTTCTCTCCGTGTGGAATTCTGGGCCACAACACTGCCAAAAGGCTATCATCTTTCCAAGATCTCTCCAGCCCCAGAAATAATACTAAATGTCAACCTTTCCCATGAGTTTGCTAGTCATTGATCAACTTATGACCCCTCAATCCACTCAGTGTCTACATAGTCCAATCCAGACAACATCTTCTCTTCTCATTTCTTCCTTTTGTAGTAAGCTCTTTCCCATATTCTGGCTTAAGTGTTCTGTCTAGGGCCCCTACTGTGCTTTAAAATGTTGTGGTCGCATTTTTCTTAACAATAATTCAAATAATCACCTACATTTTCCCCATGGGATGTCAGGTCCAGCAGCAATCCCAAATGTGAGTCTTGCTCAGAAGGAAGAGTGTTCCCAACATCTCCCCGAACAAATCTTTCATTCTGTGTTTTTTCCGTTCTAGTCCAGGACACACAGATGTAAACCTGGAGATGAGACCTGAGGAGAGCTGGGGCGGTGTTGGCCTTGTACAAACTGAGGAAGCAGATTCTGCCTTGGAAGAGCCCATCAACGTAGATGAGGAAGATGGAGGTCTTCAAATCTGCCGTGTATGTGGGGACAAGGCTAATGGCTATCACTTCAATGTCATGACATGTGAAGGATGCAAGGGATTTTTCAGGTATGATCACCCACCAACCTTCATGCACTTGCTGGTATTGACACACTAGGTCACATTAACTAACTTTCTGGACAATATCTGTAGGCCTCAGCTTGATCTGATATCTGGGGTCATTTGGTGCTCCCAAAGCCTACCCTCCTAGTTATTCCAAGAGAGCCATGAATACTTCAGAAGAATCTTCATCTTCAAGGATTCCTTCATCTACTACCCAGGAAAGGATCATTTCGCTTAAATTAACACTTAGTTCCTCTGTGTGTTCTTGAGTAAAATGGAAGGTCAGTTAAAAGTAAAAATAAATAAGTAAAATAAAAAAAAATGTGAAAGGAAGTATTCAAATCACTCTTATAGTAGGTCTGAACAAAAGGTTCACCATCATCCAGATGAAGACTAGAAAGACCAGTGGCAATTCAACAAAACCATCTTCAGCATTAGGACTCAGATCCAAGGTGGGAGGGAAGGCAGGAGACAATATATGAGAAAGAGCTCCAGTTCACCTTCAGGAACAGAAGGTCTACAGTTCTCACCTCAAAGCCACACTTAGGACATTCATATATTTCTAAGACAGTAGATGTTGTGTAACTTTTCCTGAGGAGACATCAACAAACATCTGCACACTATGGATAGGCTATCAGCAATACACCAAGAAATTATTCTACCCAATTCTAGCTTGGTGAACCAATGGATTTCTATTATTCTTAAGTCCTTGGGTGACTCAGGCAGATGCATCCCTGAGAGGCACCACTCAGGCCCCATCGAAGATACATATAAGCTGCATTATTGATATTTCTCTGCATGACTTGCAGGCAACTCCACAACAGTGTCTTCTCTGCTCACAATTTATATTACCTTTGAAAGCACTGTTTGAGCCTTGAAACTTCTAACTTTGTAAACTTCCCAAGTGTTGTGAATCTGCCTCCTACTTCCAGGCAGGGGACTGTTTCAATCCAGAGGACTCCCTTCCTTCAGCTCTTACATTCTTTCCCACTCTGAAAAGTTCCCTGGATCATGGAATGGATAATACGTGTGCCTGATTATTTTCTTTCATAGACAGAGAAGCATTGGGCCACCAAGCAGTAGCAACAGCTATCAGTAATTTGACTGTTTATGAATCTCGAAAGTAACTGCCACTCACTGCACAAAGTTTCAATAACTGAGGTTGACAGTAAGCAATGATCTGTAGGCACGAACGTGTTTAGGAAATTTAGAAGTAGAAGCTTTCTATTGCTGTGATAGAACACATAACCAAAAGCAACTTGAGGAGGGGACGCTTTGTTTGGCTCACATGTCCAAGTCAGTTCATTAGAAGAGAAGTCAGGCAGAGATAGAAAGGTATAAAGTAAGAACTGAAGTGGCGTCACTGGAGGAATACTGCATTCTGGCTTGTTCCTCCTAGCCTGTCTTTCTTATACAACCTAGAACCACTTCCCCAGGGGGTAGCACTACCCACCACAGGCTGGGCCCTTCCGTATTAGTCATTAATGTAGAAAATGCTCCACAGACCTGCCTACGAGCCAATTTCAGTTTTTTCATTCCAGGTGTCTCTTCCCAGATAATTCTCGTTTGTCTTTTTTTTTTTTTTTAATTATTTATTTAATGTATGTGAGTACACCATTACTCTCTTCAGACACACCAGAAGAGGGCATCAGATCCCATTACAGATGGCTGTGAGCTACCATGTGCTTGCTGGGAATTGAACTCAGGACATCTGGAAGAGCAGACAGTGCTCTTAACCAGCCCCTCGTTTGTCTTAAATCGAAGAATCAAACAACACAAAACAAAAACAAATAGAACTAGCCAGTACCCAAATAAAACTGGCAGGCATATCATAATTGTTTAATAAGACAATAGCAGTCACCTTCAAGTGAGACCTAGACTCTCTCTAACTATAAGATTCTGCCCTGGATTATAGTACCAACACGTATTCCCTCCTGTGGAGCTGGCCATAAATCCAATAGAGAAGATACTGGTTGCATCCATAACAGTTGCGCCACTACCGCCCTGGCAGGCCTATCTTGCCTGCCATGCTTGTTGTGTAGACAGTCTCTAGTCCTACTTAAGTGAGTAGGACTATCAACAACAATTCTCTCCCAGTAGCTTGCACATCACTTTCCAATACCACGCAAGCCAGTCGTCAAGAACAAGCTGTCAGCTCAGTACCAGCTTGATTACTCCACATTTACAATTAAAGCATGAAGTGTATTCCAGTAGAAATTGACCATCTAATTCTACCATGCAAGACTGCAATAATCTATGGTATGTACGACCCCTGGGAGTACCTTTTTACACACACACACACACACACACACACACACACACACACACACACAGAGCCTTTTGTTTATACTCTTTAACTGCTGTTTTAATAACTCATTCTTTAAACCAACTCAGCTCCTATAGGGTTATAAGGCAGGTGGAAGCTCCATTGAATCTGGTTGCCGTCAACCCAGTTCTTTACATCATTACTTATGAACTAAATATTCTTGTCAATCCATAGACGCCAACACATAACACCAAGAGACCGCGGAGAGTAGCTTCACCCATTGTTTATGTGCATGAAAATGCTTGGAAAGGCCTATGGCTATGACCACACAGGGGAGAGCATATTTCATAAGCATAGGCCCTGTAGTCTATCTGCCAATCCTGTATGAGATAGGTCGAATAGGTTGAACTACATACCTGCACCATCAATAGCATCCACCTGCTGGGGACACAATTGGGAACAAGCCTTACATGTTTGAGCACCATGCCGAATGTCAGAATGCCTCAGGAGAATACAGTGACTTTTATCTATTTCTTAACCTTTGCTAGCTGCCCTCTGGCCAGATTGTGTATGAATCAAATGAGCAACCTCTACTGGGACCTGGGGACAGATGGCCTGTATTTGAGTAAGGTCATCTGCTTTCTGAGGAGACTCAATGAGGTGTGGGTGCTCCTGGAAAACGATGAGGGGCTCTGACTCTTGTTGAATGTTCTTACATAGTTCCTTCCACATCCGTTTGTCCTCATTGTAGTCAAACCAACAACTCGAGTTTTCTGTTTCCCAGCGCATCATCCATAAAGTCAGGCCTCCGCGTACAGCACCGATTCTCACAGCCTTGTCTCTTGAGTTACTATTATCCATGTTGCTCTTAGCTCATCGGCTACTCTTCCCTTCTTCTCCCATCAGCCACTTGGTATCAGTATTTATTTGTATGGCAGCAGCCACCCATTCTTGTTTGTTGTCTCTATTTGTGTGGCCGCCTGGGTACCAGCCATCTACATGAGTAGGTGTTGACCTTTCCAGCACTTTATTTGGCTTGGATGTTGGTTTAGTCTGTTGAGGGGAGTCCCAGAGGCTCAGAAAAACACTGGCCCCAGTGCAGACTTTGTGGCACATCACACGGCTGTAAACAGGCATGCCACCTGTGCAGCGTTTGATTCTGTGCCATCTAAACGGCCTTCAGTCCAAAACGTCATCACATGAGATGCTTTCACTGTTGCTGCAGCAGAGCTGGTAATGGATCCCACTCTTACGTCTCGTATACATGCTGTCTCATAGAACAGTAATTGCTGTTCTAGAGCGGCTTGATGAGATTCTAACCTCCCTCTCTGCTATGGAATTAACACCATTGGAACGGCTTGTTCAGGTGGTTTTTGTCCTCCCTCCAGCCCTCTAAGTTGCTGGTGACTTCTAACACAAAAGGATCCGGAGGCATCGTGAGCCACAACTGTCCTACGAGGATCTTTCTTACCCAGCTCAAAAGCTGCTTTCTGAACCAATCGAGTTCTTATCAAGTTCTCTTATCAAGTTCTATGAAGGATAGGCAACTTGGACAACATGGAGGACAAACATTCACCAAGACCCCAAGAACTGAAAGAACACCTGCAGCCATTGTACATTTACAGGCATGCGTGTTGTAGAGTTTTCTCAATAATACTGTACCACTGTGTTAGCTGTTCTGTCAGGAAGAGCAATGTTGGGTGCAGCGGAGTCTAGGGGAAGAGCATGGCCCATCACCTACCATCGGCATCTTACCTGGCTATATGTCCCTAAGAGTTTTGTGCCTACTACTAGTGGATTTCCCATCTGCATTTCTTTAAACGTTCTTGTATGTGTTTCAGATTCTTCTCCAACTCTTTAACTACTCTAAACCACTCAGAGGCCAGCATTATATCACCTGTGTAATGAAACCTTTTGTTACAGAGGGTAGACAGGGCAACAAAGCAAGGGCCGCCATTCCACCACAAACAGCAAGAGTACGGAGGTGATCTCGGAGATAATGGAAAGGTCCTCTCTGATGGTCCTGTGGAATGCAAATGGCTCTTGGGATTCAGCAGCTAACTGGATAGGTGAAAAGTGTTAGCACGGTCCAGGACAGCATGAGTGGACTCTACCACTGTGTTAGCTGTTCTGTCAGGAAGAGCAACGTTGGGTGCAGTGGAGACTAGGGGAAGAGCATGGCCCATTCCCCTCCAATCATCTGACTTCCTCACAGTCCACCCTGGACTGCTGAAAAGGTGTCCGTCAGGAATAATATCCACGTTTTCCGATTCCTTAATGGAATCAGTACTGTTACATAGCCACAGCCCTCGGGTAGGCAGCTTCCCAAGCTCCCTTCCTGCCCAACCAGGGGAGAAACGCATACAGTAAGCTCTACAGGGTGGAGAGGGGACAGTGAGCCAGCCCTAGTATGAGCTTAGTCCTTTTCACCTGTACCACCCATCCCTGTCTCCATCTACTGCTGTACAACTGTCCCAGTCCTTTGGGACATGTCATGAAATAAGATCCACTCGCTTGAGAAGTCCAATAAAACCCAGGTGCTTTACAGGGGAGTAGGAGATCAAGAAATCCACAATTCAGCCTGGTGCTTGGGATTTCCAAGCGTAACCCTCATCGTGGGCAGCATTTGCCACTCTATCAGGAGCATCTGGCAAAGCTCCAGCTCCATATCTCCTTCATTCATACCAGGTGCTAGAGTGTGGGGCCACCTGTATTGCTTTATCCATTTGCCCCATTCCCCTCCCCCATCCTCCCTGCTTAACTACCATTCCTGCTTGAAAACCTTCCAGAGACAATGCTTTCAAGTGACTAGGACGGTTCCCTCACTCACTTTCCCTTTATGTCATCTCTCCTTTAATGCTTTAGCATCTTAAGAACCTAATTTACATAACAGTCTAAATTGTTCAGATTCACTAAAGCCTCTTCTACCCCATAAAGATATTTTCCTAGCCACAGGGGGCACAGCAAAGCTCAAGCTTGAGGTCCTTGTTAAGTAACCTTTTAGCTTCCTAGCTCTAACGTCAATACACTCCTATCTGGCCCTACAAAAAGAAACTAAAACCACTGCTTGTCTCTTGCTTAATTCTCTCAGTAATCACTCCCATTGCTCCATTGCCTTCTAGTCTGCATATCCTCGGGGACTTCAGCAAAGTGTCTGATGGACACATGAACTACTCCCTCAGGAACCTTCCTCATATAGCTTCGGGTTACCCAGCTTTTGCCTCAGAGAAATGAGGCTCAATCTCTCCACTTCTAGCTCATGCAGATTGATCCCAGCTACTCACACATCCCACAGCCTCAAAAGCCAAAGTTCCAGAGGCTCTTTGATTCCTTGTTTAAGTCTTTCTCAGTTCACTCAGATCCAAGACATGGTGTTTCCTGATTATCATGATTTCCTGTGGTGGGCCATTGTCAAGGACTCTTAGCACTGAATCATGAGGTTTCTCTCTTCCCCTGTATTAAAGGTTGAACTGAAGAAAGCCTTCTATTATTCCTACCTTGCCTCTCCCCCCACCCTTATAATTTGGTTCTCTCCATGGCTTCTCAGTTTGGGATCCTAGGAAGATCTCTTTTCTTTCTCATGTCTTCCCAGGTGTGAGAGATGACAAGCCAAACGTCCATCCCTTCCTCACTTTGCCCACGTTTCCCACCCATTGGGGTGAGCAGTGTTAAGGTGCACTGTGTGTCTTTCCGATATACTTCCTCCCTTTTCAGTAGGGTTCACTGGTACATTATTGGATTGTAGAGTGTCCCCATACTTGAGTGTCAGACCCCATTTACCAAGAGGATTTGTCACTCTATGCCATGTAAAGGAAAACGGCTACCCTAGGGTCCTCCCTCAAGGATGCTCTTCTCTCAGATGGCTCAGCCTGAGCTGCTTCTCTTATCACTCTCTTCAGGGGCCACGCAATTGCTCCTCCCACACACACCTTGGTTCTGTTGGTCCTTGCTCAAGTACCCATGTGTCATGCTATGTTTCCAGGGGAGACCTGAACAACTATGTACCTCAGGTAGGGCAGTTGGTGATAGTTCAAAGAAATGATTCCTCAGAGCTTGGCGAATGAGTTTCTTGGAGACACTTGGCTAAGGAGTTAATTACGGGAGTGTGGATGACTTGGGCAGGCGTAGCACTGAAAGGTCCTCCCGCAGCTTGGTGGATGGCTTACGAGGGCAGCACCAATTAGGTTTCTCTGCATAATTTACAGTTAGCCCCCACCAGAGTCCCCACTCCCCAAGAAATTGCTTATTGCTTATGTAACTTCCGGGAGGGGGATCACTGGAGTCTTTAGTTTTGTGAGCTTACTGAGTCTTTTGAGCCCCCTTTTTCCCCTTAGGGTGGAAGGTTCCAGCCAAACTTGTCAGGCTCTCCCCTTAGTTTTTGTTGGATTAGTCTTTCGAATGGAAATGAATGTTCAAGCCAAGGCCCCACCCTGCAATGCCAAAGATGTGGTGCTGGTCATCCTAAGGAGAGGTAGGTGCTCATTGTCTCTCATGGGAGAACTTACGATCCTTGATGACTCCAAAGGGGCAGTGCAGCAAGCTCGGGGCTATGACCAGGTCCGTGTCCCCAGGTCCCTGACTTTGGGGACAATGTGGTCATGAGGAGCTGACCTCACGTCACTTGGGAATAACTCTACCAGGATAGGCCCAAAGGGACATCGATCCAGGGAGACATGATCATTGACTGTGTGGGCTACAGTGGGGTACACATCAGCAGTGCCAGGCCATGTCCAGTCACAAGTCACAGAATACTTGGATCAACTCATGGGACAATAAAGGAAAGGTGGGACCAATTGAAATGAGGAATCTGAGGTCTCCTGAGTTGATGAGCCTGCATTTTTCTTTTCTGCCAACCCAAGAGATCTGGCTGTAGTCTGGCTCCTCTTGGAAAAGCGTAGTTCCAGGAAACCCAGACAGTAAAAAAGGATGCTTATCCAAAGGGCGAGACAATCCGGCCCAGAAGTCGTCACCCTATCATGTACGTTAGCTGGCTTCAGCCTACTCCTGAATCAGTAGCAAAGAACACCAGCTAAATTGCTGAGCTGAGCATGCACCACAAACCCTCCCATGAAGGCAGGTTCTGGTTCTTCAAGCCAGAAAACCTGGCTTCTGTATGAACCTCCCCCAGGGGTGTGAGAAACCTCGTTTGGGTGTCACCCTGGCATACCTAGAGGGAGGTGAGGCATCTGTGCTTGGGAACTTGGCTTCTTAGTAAGCAAACTTGTCACTTATCAAGCAAAGTTTGTCACTTACCTGGAGGACAGGTGATGATCAGTCTCCTTCACTGTGGCAGGGGGTTTTGAAAACCGAGTCTTTAAAGCTATATAAAACATATAGGCCAGCATCTGATACATGGCATGCTTTTGATGGACGCCAGTCCCCTTTTGGCATTTGGGGGCCACTTGGGGGTCAGCATCAGGGGCTTCTTCTCTAGGTCTGTAAAGATGAGAGTGTGACACCCACAGGAATACTCCCAGGCTGATGGTTTGAGCCCAGCAAGCTCCAGAGCTCAGGCCTGCCAGGCACAGTGAGCTAGCTCAGTCTCAGGTCCGGAGCTCCCAGCATCCCTCTGTTCTGTTTCCATCCTTCCAATTCGGCTTCTCTTATTTCCCACACTGTTGGACAGAGCAGAGGCCAGAGCCAAGGCATCAGTTGGGACATCCAGATGTGGAGATGAAGGATAACCAAGTTAGGGCAGGAATGGCAGGCAGTTATGGCAGTCTGGTGGGAAACTCAGGATGGCTGAGCTATAGAGTGGTCTGACTGAGATTTCCGGCATCACGTACAGTCTGCCCACAGGTCCTCTCTACAAAGGCCAGTGGCCCTTCAGCACCCTTCAGGCTGGTGACAAAGAAGCCCCATCCCCAACCCCCATACATACACTCTATTCTACAGATCTCTCAACCTCCCCTTCGCAGGCCAATCGGAGCTGGAGAAGAGCAAGGACTTTATATGTTAAGAAGCTGCTGGGGTTGGGGGCGGGGGTGGTGGGAGATTTTCTCTGGCTTTCTTTTCCAAGGAGAAACCCAGTTAGAAACCCATCTCCGTGGATATCATGAGTAACAAGGCTATGAGGAAATTTAAGAAAATTTATGAGGTATTTAAGAAAAAGGCCTGGAGCCTGCTTTTGACGTGTTCTAGGAAGAGACTCTGGGACTACAGGTGCCCATGAAAAGCACAAGTCTCATTTTCTGCAGAAACATCTCAGAAAGTCTCCTCGTCTTTTGAGTCCTTGGGGTAGAACGCCAAATCTACACCTGCTCCGTAAAATCCCTGGTGTGCACTACCTGCTGCTGGCAGGGGCTGAAGAGACATGTCCTGTGGCCTGTCGTGCCTGGCCCAGGAGCTGAGCGCCCCTCGTTGACTAACTGATGCTCTTTCTCATCCCACAGAAGGGCCATGAAACGCAACGTCCGGCTGAGGTGCCCCTTCCGCAAAGGGACCTGCGAGATCACCCGGAAGACACGTCGGCAGTGCCAGGCCTGCCGTTTGCGCAAGTGCCTGGAGAGTGGCATGAAGAAAGAGAGTGAGTGGTGGCGGGACAGGTGGCTCAGGCTTGGTGGATGGGGGCAGTTGCCAGAGAGCAGAGGAGCCACAGCGCCTAAGCGCACGCGCATTTGTGAGCCTGCGGGACTTGGGCAATACAGGGCACCAGTTCTCAGCTTACAGGAAACGTAGAGGGAGATGCAGGTCAGGGCTGTGTCCTCTCTTTCCTCTCAGCTGTCCCTGCAGGACTCCTTTTGTTCCCAGTCATAACTGTAGTCTTGGAGGTGTATGGAGGTTGGGGGAGGGGATGACCCTGCCGGGGCACATATGCCGAGTCCTCTTTGTTAACACACAGTGATCATGTCCGATGCTGCTGTGGAGCAGAGGCGGGCCTTGATCAAGAGGAAGAAGAGGGAAAAGACTGAGGCTCCACCGCCTGGAGGGCAGGGGCTGACTGAAGAACAGCAGGCACTGATCCAGGAGCTGATGGACGCTCAGATGCAAACCTTTGACACGACTTTCTCCCACTTCAAGGATTTCCGGGTAGGGGGCTTAGGGCTATGACCACATCCATGGCTATGCCGGCTCCTCAAAGTCATTTTCCCAGGGTTTCTTGTGGTCAGAAACACCAGGATACCTCTGAGAACTTGCTAGATATGTATCCTGCTCTCAACCTCAAACTCTGGGATGGGAAATCTTTTGGTGATTCCCCAGCCGACTGTCCTCAGCGGGTAGGGACTGGGTTAAGATTAAGCAGAGGCAGACATGTTGCCCCCACTGAGATGTGAGGACAGCCAGGAGGAGAAGGGGTACGGACTTCCTGTAGGCTAGCTCTGTCTTTATTCCCAGTGCCACCCCCCCTCCACTCTCCCAGAATGGTGACAAGTAGCTCAGGTGACTGGACTAGCAAGGAAGAATGGTCTAGCCTCTATCTATAGCTGCCAAACAAAGGGATGCTAAGGGTACACTATGCAAAAAGGCCGTCCTTACCCTTCACACTGACCAGGCAGGGATATGACTATATTAATTCATAGAACATCACGTGTCAGGAGACAATCTGAGAGAAGAAACACAGGTTATATGTATACATGGATGCACACGGATGTGTGTGCATACCTGTGATTGTGACTGCAGCTGGTCACCTGGAGCCAATGTGGGGACTTGCCTTTGACAACATGCTGCCCCTCCTCTCTTTGCCTCCTGCCCTTCATCCCAGCTGCCTGCGGTGTTTCGCAGTGACTGTGAGCTTCCAGAGTTTCTGCAGGCTTCAATGTTGGAAGACTCTGCCACATGGAGTCAAATCATGAAAGACAGGGTTCCAATGAAGATCTCTCTGCAGCTGCGCGGAGAGGACGGCAGCATCTGGAACTACCAACCCCCTTCCAAGAGCGATGGGAAAGAGATCATCCCTCTTCTGCCACACCTGGCCGATGTGTCAACCTACATGTTCAAGGGCGTCATCAACTTCGCCAAAGTCATATCCTACTTCAGGTAGGTCTTGAGGGCTGAGCGGACAGATGTAGAAAGGAAGAGGAAATGGTCAAAGTTTGCAAAGAATCTGCAATGAGTCCCCATGAACTTGGGAGAAACTGGTGCCAAAAGATCCTCTATTATCTCTGCCCCTGGGGGACCATTGCTACTGGAGAATAAGGGCCCCTCCCTATATGGTTCAGTGGTTTTGTTGCTGTGGTCTTGACAGACTTCCCATTTTGGAATGGGAACGGATCATGCCAACCTTGTAGAGCTGATGTGTGAAATAATAAAACATCTGAAGATTGGTACATGCTGGTCATCAGACCTTCCTAACCCCCATACGGATGGAAACCGTGACTGGAAAATTAAAAGTTAAGTTTGCAGGAAAATAAAGAGGTCCATAGAGAGAAGAAGAAGGGACAGATTTCTAGTTGTCTGCCATCAAGTAGGGTCTGCCATCAAGAAGGTGGCAGGGGAAGATGGAGGGTCCTGTAATCTAACAGGCCACATCTCCCCAGAGCTGGGCACAGAGTCAACACCCATGACAAATGGTGTCAGCAAGAGAAACAGGAACCCGCTGGAGTAGTGAGAACAACTCACTCCTCCATAAGACGTAGTCTGCAGTGCTAGGAGTGAGGCTAGGAGTATTTGTACCCGAGCCTTCCACCTTGCCTGCCTAGCCTGGTCAAATGGGGCTGACTCACACATGCAAGGAGCACACTGCCAGGGAGAGATCAGATAATAGGAGTGGAACACGCGGCTGTCATTACTGGAGAGAAACAGTAGGGGACATGTATGCATTAAATTTAACATCAGGTAGCAGCTACTTTCAGTGCAAAGCATGACGTGCGTAGAAGGATTCTGCTCAGTAGAAACACTTCCGGGAAGGGAAGACACTACTTGACCTGAAAACTCATCAGGATTTACTTAAAAGGGCAATCATTCCAGAGAAGGCAAACAGGCAAAAACTTACGAGGCTAACAAGGAAGAAGGAAGACAGTGAGTGTTGGTTAGAGGCTGTGCAGGGGTTCGGAAGAGATGAAACAGGCTGTAAGGGGGCTGGACACAAGGCTCAGGCAGCATGGAGCTCCCGGGGGAGTAGGAGAGAAGACCTTGGGGGGCGAAATAACCTGATGGCCTGGATTATGAGGGAGAGAGATTGGGGAAGACCTGGAAGGAACTGCATCCTCAGAAGAAGGCTGCTCCATCTCTTTCCTTTCCTCCAACTTTTGACTTATGAGCTAGGGACTGGTGCCAGCCTCTGGACAGCCTACCTAGGGGTTGTCAACCCCTCCTGTCCTTGCTGCCAGGGACCTGCCTATTGAGGACCAGATTTCCCTGCTGAAGGGGGCCACTTTTGAGATGTGCATCCTGAGGTTCAACACGATGTTCGACACGGAAACGGGGACCTGGGAGTGCGGTCGGCTGGCTTACTACTTCGAAGACCCTAATGGTGCCCAAGAGATGCCTGGCAGAGGGAGGGAGACAATAGCCAAGAGAGATTGGGGGATGGAGGGAAAGAGCTCCGAGAGGGACGCCTGGGTTCTTGGGTCAGGTTCCTGAGGTGCTGGCTGTCTACCCTATACTCACCCACAGGTGGCTTCCAGAAACTTCTGTTGGATCCACTGATGAAATTCCACTGCATGCTGAAGAAGCTACAACTGCGTAAGGAGGAGTACGTGCTGATGCAGGCCATCTCCCTCTTCTCCCCAGGTGAAGGCTTTCCCCCGGCTGCTGGATGCCTCCAGTGACCCGCAGGTCGCAGCAGCCCCCTTTTCTGTCTGCCCCAGGGAAGGTCTCAGTCATTAACCTTGCTTTCCATTACACCGGCAGACTGCACAGTCTGTCGTTTTCCTTTGGTGAGGTGGTTGGCCAGAAATTCTTTTCTCCGGGACTGGACTGAATTTTCCTTTGTTCCATTCCGACCTGCCGGGACCACAATGCCTTTTCTCCCCCCTCAGATCGCCCTGGCGTGGTACAGCGCAGCGTGGTAGACCAGCTGCAGGAGCGATTTGCCCTCACCCTGAAGGCCTACATTGAGTGCAGTCGGCCATATCCTGCTCACAGGTGAGGAGGAGCTGGGAGAGGCAGATATGAAGTGATCCTTCCCTGTCCCTTCACTTTTGACTTGATCTCCAAGGGCCTGCCATGTCCAAGGCAGCTTCTGATGACCAAGGTTCTGGGATTATTTTGTGACCTCTACTAAGACTTCAAGCCTGAGTCTAGCTGAGGGATACACCCAAGGCTTCTACATTTCTGACATCAAGATTTGGGAAGAGCCTGATTCTACTGTCTTTTCTTTAGGGTCTTCTAGCAAAGGCCAGCAGCAATCACAATGAGGGTAAAAATAGTGATACCATTCATAATGGCGGTGTATCTATTAACAGCTACTATTGATTGGCAAGTGTTAGCTCTCAGGCCAAGAAGTTTATGTATATTATAACCTATAACCTTCAAAACACTCTCCTGCGGTAGGTACCAACACCATTGCAACACCCAGGATTCCACAGGGTGGACCTGTGGAGCTTGGCAGCTAGAAGATTGTCAGAGCTTGTCACTCAAAACAACCTGCTTGGAGCTTGGCACAGATAAGAGCTCCCAGGCTGCCACCAGTCCTTAGAGTCCTGTATCCTAGTGTGCCCAGCCTCATGCCCACAGACTCAAAGACAGTATATTTGACTACAACAAGCCCATGGCTTTGAAGATCAAGGCCATTTATTTGGGTGTATTATATAGTATGGGACTTGACACCCCGATCTTCACGTGGCCTGTCCTCACTTTCATTCATTCAATTACTTCCTGCAAGGAGGCTTGGAGTGCTAGCTTCCTTACCTAATCATGGGGAGACTAAAGTAACTGTGTGTTCAGATGTTGGAGAGAGAGAGGAGGGGGGAGGGAAGAGAGAGAGAGAGAGAGAGAGAGAGAGAGAGAGAGAGAGAGAGCTAACTTGGAGGTCCTAGCTGTCCAAGATAACGACCCCCCTCACCTCTAAGTTAACCTGCAAGGTCTGAAGTTTCTCCGGGGACCTCTGTGTCCAGGGACTCAAGTCAGTGGGTGGGGAAGGAGGAGACAGATAACGGCTTTGACTTTAAACAGCAGCGGGCTGTTCTGCCCTCTCATGTACAGGATAAAGGAATTCCAAACATCCTCACTGGGCTGTTCCGAGCAGGGTCAGTCTGGTGGGACGAGGAGGGGTGGCCTGACACTGCAACTTCTTCTCTGGCTGCCTCTAGGTTCCTATTCCTGAAGATCATGGCCGTTCTCACTGAGCTGCGTAGCATCAACGCCCAGCAAACCCAGCAGCTTTTGCGCATCCAGGACTCACACCCCTTTGTCACCCCTCTCATGCAGGAGTTAATTAGCAGCACAGATGGCTGAGTGGCTGCCCCTGCGTGGAGGTCACATGGGGCAGCCTGACCTAGACATTCTGACTTGGCACTTGTAGGGCTAGACAGATGGACACACTGATAGCCAACAACGCCCTCTGACTGCAGCTGGCTAGCATTTCTCAGGAAAAGGACCTGGGAGCCCCCAAGTTCAGCCTGTGGAAAGTGCTGGCCTCTACGTTAGACAATCTTTGTGGTTGGGAATAAACCTCCAAATCCCACTAAATTCTCAGGTGTTAGGTGAGAAGGGAGGGACCAGGCCAAGCTACATAACAGTGTACACCCACTCCCCACCCATCCCCAGCCCCAAGCTCCTTCTGGAGCTGCTTGTGTGTTCCAGACTTGAGCTGACACTCAGGTTCACAAGTGTCACTGCTGAATGCCAGCAGCTTGTCATGACCTTGTTCTGGACATATCAGTCAAGTTCCTGTATCCGGCCAAACAGATTGTTAATCACTAACAATGTGACCAGCTGTGTGTGTGTTGGGGGGGGTTATACAGCACGGATTCAGATGTGGATCCCGACCTCAGACTTTAAGAAGACAAAGCTGAAATGGCTGTTCAGAGTTTGTAAAACCTTCTTGGAACAACTCATGTGGAGTCAAAGAAAGGGTGTGTGACATACAGCCAAGGAACTTTGTGTGGGGTCTGAGCTGCACTGGGGTTCTACAGGTCACTGGAAGCCAAGGAAAGGGTCCCAAATGCCAGTCATGTGTAGAGGAATGGGCAAGAACTATGGTGCGGGGACAGGACCTGTTTGTGACTTGGTGGGGGTAGGTCTGCACCCTATCTGACTAGGGTCTGGCTTGCTCCCAAGGCTGTGACTTAAGACAAAGCTACAGTGACAGACAATAAATGTATAACAGCACAATTACTTATATACATCAAACTCCTGAGTACACCTGATCCTTAGAGTGCACATGCGTGGCAGTATCTGCTTCTTCTAATACTTTGTAGGATTGTTTGTGCCTTTTCACAAGTTACATCTTAATTTCACATGAATGTTTCACACTTAAGAACTTAGCAAGGATGTCCTTAGGTTTAATGTCAGATCAAGACAGGAGGACTTCAATAAGGAAATTTTGGGTAGAGATAGAAAACATTTAAAAAAATTTTTGTTTGCATGTGTGTGTGTGCACATGTGTGGGTGACTGAAGTCAGAAGAGGGCACTGCATCCCCCAGAGTTGTAGTAGTTACAGGTGGTTGTGAACCAACCAACGTGGGTGCTCAGAACTGAACTCTGGTCCTCTGGAAAAGCAGCAATAGCCTAGTCATCTCTCTAACCCTATTTTTTTCCCCCCCTGGGGAAGAAAAATATGTGAGAATAAGAAAATAGAAATAAAGAGGGCCAGGTGAGGCTGAGGTAAGAACACAGCGTTCATAATAGTCCAAACAGTGAGATCCTGTCTCAAAAACAAAACTGAACAGAGCTCCTCCATTCCCCAAACCAAACCCTCCCCCAACCCCTCTCTCTCTCTCTCACACACACACACACACACACACACACACAGAGTCATTTATTAATTACTTCAGTGCCACCTTTTACAAAGCCGACAGCTGGTAGAACATAAAAATGAATTATTTAATCACTTGCTTTTGTGCTTATTACATATAAAAACACACACAGACATGTATACATCACAATGTAAAGTGCAGTAACTGAAATTTAAATATGTAATAATATTCGGTTGCAAAAAAAGCTGGAAGTAACTGAATTTTAACAAACAGGTAATTACTTAGCTCTACCCATCTTACAAGCAGGCCAAACTGGAATAGCATCAGATCAACACAAGCCAAAGAAGTAAACATATTCCAACTCCAACCTCTACCTGAGGAGGTAATGAAGTCATTCATGTTTGGGAGAGAAAATTGAGCCCATCCCTGGAAATTCATGAATATAGCTTTCACTCCATAATATTTGGAACAATTAAAGACTTGGTTATAAATAGAAATGTATTTCTGATTTGGAAGTCTAAACTCCACTCAACTCCCTCCCTCAACAGTACTCTCATCTCTTCTCCTCTGGGAAGTTACCTGTCTACTCTCAGAAGCCCGAGTGTGGCTCACTGTGGGTTCGGGTACGTAAGGGTAAGATTAAGATGTAATACAGATTATACCCTCCATCCCAGCTGACTTTTTAAACACACCAGGGAGTGCTCCAAACATTAAACCGGCAAGGGCATGGGAATTAGACAGTAAGCACTTATTCCAAAACTAGATAAGATTCCAGGTTCCACAAAAGAGCACACCCAGAATTTCCATTCTCTCAGCAACCAAGGCTAAGTTTTAAGACCCAGAGATCCAACTTAACTGGTCTCCAACAACTGTTTGCCTCTTCACTTCCCGCCCCAAGCTTCTGATCAAGTAGAAGCATTGGTTTCTAGGCATCTTGGTGGTGGCGACCCTTTTTCTGATTTCCTGCTCAAGAAGGGATGGTTAATGTTCCAAAGTGCTGGAGAAAAGAACTGTGTGAGCCACCATATTCATCTGGCTCTCCCATCAGTCAATAGCCACTCAGCAGCCATTGTCCATGTGTCTAAAGTCTTGACATGGCCTTCATGTGAGAGGCCCCGGGAGTGGCCCTTCCATTTCTGGAAATAAGAAAAGACACATAAACAAAAGAAACCCACCCCTAACCCCACCATTAACCAGCTCTTCCCAGCTCCAGACAACTTGCGGGCTTCCAAAGCAGTTGTTTTTTTTTCCCAGGTTGCCTTTCTTTCCATAGCAACAGCTCTTAACACCTGAAGGTGCTCAGAAAGATCATTCCATTCATCAACCTGCCCAGCAGCCTTCACAAACTGCACCCATTCCTGCTGTCCCACAATGCAGCACTACCCTTTGGAAGGACTCAGACATAAGGAACCTTTCAGGGTTGTGAGAGGGAGCTGGCAAGCTTTTTAGTCCCAATTCAAATGGCCATCAGAAGACCTATCCAGACTGGCAGTGAACCACAAACCAGCCCCCTGGAATTACAGGCATGTGGCACCACACCCAGCTTCTCCCCAAAATGTTAATGCAATTAGCTCACTAAATAAAAGACCCACACTTAGTCGAATATAAATTTGTCTTTATTGAAGCAGCAGTCACATGACCTTATACCTAACCTTTAGGCCTGACAATGAGCCAGCCCTAAAAAATGGTGTTTCTGTTTGCACTAAGAGACATTAACATGTTAACATACATTATCCAGTATTGGAAATGGGCAGACTCAAACACGTGTTGGTTACATGGGTGGTACAGACCCAATGTCCATGGTATTTATGGTTTACAGAGACTCCCAACAACCATTACTAATAAGATGGAAGTTAAAATAAATACAGCCACACCAAACCATGGACATAGTAACCATAACCAAAGACAGCAGCTTATACATGTTCTTACAACTGTCCCTTTCAGGGATTTTCTTTTTTTTTTCTTTTTTTTCTTTTCCCCAAAGAAGTGTCTGCAAAGCTCCCTCTACATTAAGTCCAGGGGTTTCCAAGCCAAAAGCCGTACCTCCTGTCTACACATCAGAGCAAGGTCATTTCAAAGAATCAGAGTCCTGACTTTTCATAACGAGGATTTGTGTCTCCCCAGTCAGAGGAAACGGCAGTGTGACTGCATGTGGCAATGGCAAAGTCAGTAGGGTGAAGAGAGAGGGGTGGGCTCTGAAATAAAGACCACACACTTGTGAAGTTTAATTTCATTTCCAGGCTAACCTACTTTTTATTGAATGCAAATTACAGTACCAGTTAACTATTTCCAAACCAAGTCACATAGAACAAAATGTATTTACAAGGGAATGGGGAAAAGGGGGAAAAAACCATTGAGCATACTTTCCACAAAAAAGTTTATATTTAAAATGAAAAAAAAATTCAGTCACAGAGGCATTCAAGTAGAATGTTAGACGGCGATGCTTTCCTTATATCAAGACAGCTGCACAAGTGTTTGCAATAGTTTGTATACAACCCACAGTCCTCTATATATATATATATATTATAATAATAATAGATTTTGTTTAGATTTGTTTTTAAGATGGAAGTGGTCACGCTAATTGGATGTGTACAGGCCCAAGTGATCCATCGCAACACATTTATAAATGCAAATTTTACAGGCAAGCACATTTCCATATACCTAGCTGTATCTGCCTGTAGACAGATATAGTTAAGAAAAAAAAACTTAAAAATTAACACAAGGAAGTCTACTTTGTCAAGCTAACCCCTTATGTACTGGCCGCCACTTTGCTTGTATTGTGGAGAATGCACAACGGGGCAATGGACTTGAATAACATGGCATAACCCTGTGAAAAGGGTCCAGACCCCAAGGACCGCTTCCGAAGACGCTCAGGGGAGACCTTCGCCTGGCTCTCCTCTGTGCTACTAGCTGTTTCATGTTTTCAGTGGCTTCAGTTTCTAACAGAAGAGGCAGGTTTCACCATAAAGGGTGCTTACTTTTCATACAGGGGAGAAACATGTTCATCTCTGGGATTAGAACAATCAGTAGTGTAAATAGGAACCAGATACAATTTTGATTTAAAACAAAGAAAAAATAATAAAACCCCAACTCTGGGAGATCTGGCATTGGCCAAACTTTCTTTGGAAGATTCCAAAGTGTAAACCCTTGCAAAGGGAAGAGAAGGAAACGGAAATGCCAGTGTCTTTACGTCCACAGGGATAGAGAGCATAGGGGTCCTCTTAGGACCTCTGCATTGGTGTGGACAAGATGGCTGCGCAGCTATTCTTTGCTAAAACACAAACCTAAGAAATGGGTCTAAAAAAAAAATTAAGGACTTAAAAAAATCAACAGTATGTCATGGGAGAAGGTGCACTCTTCTGCTGTGCACAATGAACTCGTGATGTCTCAAAAATAGCAACCTTTGGTTTGGTAGTGATTTTTTTGTTTTGTTTTTCTTCTTCTATTCAAGACACATGAAGTAGTTGGTGGCAAAACAAATACTTTTTTTTCTTTCAAAAAGGCCATATTAGGCACAGTCAAGAAACTGATTTTTAAAAAAGAAATTAATATGATATTTCATCCAGCAAGATGGTAGGAGGGAGGAACGGGCTCAGAGTCCACTCGCAGCCTCGTCTGCACAGCACCCCTGCAGTAACTAACAATGTCACCAGGGCACCCAAATGCCACCAAGACAGTGATTTATTCTTTAAAAAATAAAACAAAACCAATCTCTCTTTCTCTCTTTGGGAGGGAAGTAGGTAAGGAGAGAGTGAGCGTGGGAGGCTCCCAGAATCTGCTTAAGAACCACTTTAGGACTTAGAGAAAAGACAAAATCCAATCTACCTGACTCTCCAGCTCTGGGGCCCCAGCACTCCACCAAGTCCTGGGACAGACCAAGTGTGAAATGAAACCTGTCACTGTTACCGAGGAGACAAGACACACCCAGGCCCAAAACAAAGGCAAGGCTGGAATGAAGTGGCATTTCCAACATGGTCTCCTCTCCCCATTCAAACTGTGGAGTGAGCAAAGGTGCTGTTTTGTTGTTATTTCAGAGGGAAAGGGGGCCACAGGGACACGTGGATAAAGGAAATAAAAAGACAAAAACAAAACAAAAAACCCAAAAACATGGAAGCGAAGGCACTCCAAACTATATAGATACACTATACATTGCTAGAGTTATTGTTACAATAATACAGGCCGGTACCTACTGTACAGAGTTAAAACTATATGGCTTTAAGAAGCTCGTCTATGTTTTGTCTGGTTATTAAACAGAATCACTGCCCTGAACAATAACTTTTTGCTCATTAATAACAGTTCCTGGGTCCACATATTTACATACAAAACAATAAAACTTAAATTTAAAAACATTGAAAGAAAATATAATATACAAGCTTGAATTTGGTGAGGAGCTTTTAATTATTATTTACAAAAAGATATTCAGAGACCCGGAT